GAAACAATAAGAAACTATCAAAAACAGGGTTTGGTTATGATTAAGCATTGTTTGGGAAACTCACAAATTAACTCGATACCAGAGTAAAGAGTTTTCTCACATAACTTTTCTTTACAGAACAAACGCCAAAGCTTACGCGTACAACTAGCGCGAGCAGATATTATTCATTCACAGCGCAAAATTGAAGTCATGTTTCCGACCCTGAAAAACTCACCTTTTCCATTAGCTCAGAGCATAAAACTACACTTTAGAGCCCTGGTTCTGATTTGCTGCCATATTCCCTGCCATCGCTGTGAAAAATCTGCAAGAGAATCTCGTGACTCTCACCATTTGATCACGCAACGTAACAACATCCACGCGAGAGACCCCGACATGTGCGTGGATCCGCGCGGATATGACGTCATGATGGCGCAATTTGTTCTAAAAGTAGAAAAATTGTCCCATATCATAGGTGTACGCGGATCCCAAGACTTACGGTCTCCGTCCCCGATTATGGCTCCTGTATCAACTCGGTAAAGCATTGCACGACCATGAGTTTTAGAAGAGCCCTCTTGCAAGTTACTTATATTAGCGGTTGGTGAGAAGAATTGAGTATTTCGTCAATTTTGTTAACATTAGTTGTCAAACTGTTAACTACAGAATCTATTTCGTTCTACAACGTAAGCTTTGGTATCATGAACTGTAACATTAAGACAAGTATTTTCCTCATCCGACTACACTCTTTTTTTATATAATACATTTTGTAAGAATATTGAGGCTGAAATTTGCCAAATTTTAAAGAATATTTTAGAATAAACCCGAGGCCGAGATTTTTGAAGAGAATATAATTTTATTGTGTTGAAAGTGTGTAATACAATACAATTATATGCTTTTAGCTAAACCGTACAAAATTCTTCTTTTCTGTAAATGGCAAAGCCAGCCTTAAAGCAACAAAAGCAGCACTAGCCGTATGTTCCATGCTAATAACATTTCTGTAAGAAGTTATGTGCGTCATAGCAGTGCAAACATTCAAATTTGCCGCTTCGCCGGTCATGAATAATTAATAATGTCCAGGCATTCTACCCGATGTGCGAACATGCGATAGTGTGTGCCAAAATCGTTGCAGAATGCAAAGAATGTGTGTTGTTGGAGGCTGTAGCAATACAGGATGCGTAGAATAGAGTATTCCTCTTCATCAAGAGATCATCAATCTCTTGTCTTCATTCAATACCTCTATCCCGATGAAACTCGATCAGAAACGAGAAAAAGACCAAAGAAGTGGCCTGATCTGTGCAAAACTAAAACTGGCGAGCCCTCAAGGATTTCTTCGATCTCAGGTACGCTGCTGCTGTAAAAACCCAGAGATTTTCATGGCCTGTGCGTATATTTTTTTACTAATCTCTGATGGAAAGCTTGACATTGTCAGACACGAATTTG